ATCCTCCTGATTGCTGTGATGACCGTCTGTGCCAGCACACTTGGCTCTAACCGTATTTTATTAACAGCCCTGGGAAGCTCGCTCTGTGGTGGAGCTGTGGATTAGAATGCAACGGGCTCAGACCTTGAACTTATCAAAGCAAATATGTGCATAGTTTTTTCAGTATGAGGTCTGTAGCAGGGGTGCTGAATGACAGAGCTAAAACCCCCAACACCGCTGTATTAGCTGCTTTGTTTTGAGAAATTGTCAGGCTGGGATTAAACTTCAAATTCTCTTTCCTTTGATTCCCAGAGAGCTGGGATTACAGACTTGTTCCATCCTGTCTCAGTCTGCAGTATTTTAAGAGACTTTTTTCCATCAATTTTCTCTCCTGCACTCTATCACAGAGCGCTAAGTTGTCAAACAAAAAATTTTAACAACCTGCAGCAGAATTAGCATTTTCCATCTCTAACTTCCAGATGCTCTATAACAATGCTGCATGTCTTTTTACTTGCTCCTTAAACTTCATAAAATGGAAATAATGAGATCATTTTGTAGGGTCTCCCTAATATTTTCTGTGAGGCCCATTAGGGTTGGAATGGAGAGATCATTAATTGGTTAGACTCTGAAACACTTCCATTATTATTCTAGGGCCTTGTCCCAATGATCAGAAACTTCCCAAACAAGAAAGGACTGAGACTTCACAAAACTCAGAACACACTTCCCTTAGGGCTTGGAATTCAAAGGACTAATTGCTTGAACTGGATAGGGTATGGGGTCCTGCTTCCAACAGGGGCACAGGTATGGCTTTGTAGCCACCCAGGTCGTGAAATTGGAATAAACTGAGAAGGCTTTAACTTAGTCTGACCAGGGACATGGGCTCGGGGTTGGTTTTCCTGGGTTAGAAGGGGTTTCTGAGATTTGTCTGAACACAGGCCTCTATGTGGCTGTTACCCAGTATGCTTTCCCTTGCAGATACCTCAGGATGAGTGTGCAGAATCCGTCACCTCTGTATGAGCTGGCCAAGCAGAGCCTGCTGAAGAGTGCGACCATAGCCAGCGCTGCTCTGCATGATCTGCCCATCCTGATCTTCCATGACTTATTCATGGACGCCTTCATGGGGGAACACAATGAGGTCCTGAAGATGATGGTGCAGACCTGGCCATTCCCCTATCTACCTTTGAGGACCCTAATGGAATTGAGAAAACACAAGATGCCGCGCACTCAGTCTGGAGAAATCACACTGCAACAGAGAGACCTACAGACATTACAAGCCATACTGGATGGAATTGATATACAGCTGTCCCAGAAGACTCCGCACAGGTGAACATGACACAAGAATATTGGAAGGAGGATTGGGAACACAGGGAAGGGACAGTCAGTGTCAGGGCACCAGGGGGACTGAAGTGTGGAGCAGCTTCTGATGTTGAGGAGGATCACAGAGTTCTTGGCTGTTGCTGAGCCCGACATGGGACACGGTTACCTGATGAGCAAGATGCATGTGCAGGATGATTAACTCAGGAGAAAGCTGCATCTCCCTAACCTCACAGGGACTGGGAGCTGAGCCATACCTCATGCAATGGTTAAGAAGGGAGAAAAGGGAAGGCAGAAATGTAGGGGAATGGCAGATGCCCAGAAAATGAAAGAGGAGAACAGGTAGGACGTTGGGTCTGCGTCTCAATTCTGAGGTTGCTTCCTGTCTTACACACAGCAGGTGGAAACTGCAGGCGCTGGACTGGAGGAATGTGAACCAGGACTTCTGGACTGTAGGCCCCAGAGCTGTAAGTGCCGCCCCCTTCGGCAATGGCGGAAATAAGGAAATCAGCAATCCTGGGTTAAGTGAGAAGAACCCAACCTTGAGAATATTCGCAAACATTTGCTTTGAAGCCTGGAGTCCGCTTTGTGCCACCGATGATCAATTACAGCTCTGCCTCTTGAAGTGGGCCAGGAGGAGAAAGGCTTCAGTGCACCTGCACTGTGAGAATGTGATGATCCTGTCCAGTGCTGTCTTTAAGATCCTGAAGCTTCTGCGCGCTGTGCGACTGGATTCTGTCCACGAGCTGGAGGTGATTAGTCACTGGTGTCCAGAAGGCATGAAAGCATTTGCTCCTCAGCTAAGGAAGATGGAAAACCTTCACACATTTCACTTCAGAAGTCTGAGTTCAGAAGCGTTTACATCAACCAGGGAAAACAAGTGGTATTCCCGCATCTGCACTTCTCACTTAGGGCAGCTGAAAAATCTCCGGGAGCTTCAGATGGATGAAGTCTCCTTCCTGGAGGGAAATC